TTCCTTGTGAAACCAGACTTTATTGCACTGCAGAGCTGGGACAGAGCCATTTGTTTGTATGGGCTAATGAAAGGAACCGAGTTCTGCACTGTTCCAGTGAAGAAGTTCCAATGTTGGGCTCGGAGCTGTTGCCTCAGGGATTCCTTTCCCAGCTCTCCGTGGCTGCCTGTGCCCTGCAGGCTCAGGGCTGGAGCAGGGCTGTGCTCTGCAGGGCTGGCACAGCCTCTCTGTGGAGCACTCAGGGACTTCCCAGCACTCTGGAACACGAATGTTCAGTGGCATTTGCAATAGGGAGTTACCAGGTACTGAGCTGCTTGGCTGGAAGTTCTCTAAATCCCAGTGCGAGATCGGAAATCCCTTCACTTACTGAGCATTATTCTAAAACATCCTTCTGTTCCTGGGGTCAGCAATGAGCCTCAAAACTACCGTTTATTAATGACTTCTTCTTTTAGCTTTTCTGCAAGCATCTTCCTCTTCTGCAGCAGCCTTTGCTTCTCTTCTGACATCTCCTGAAAGCAGAGTGAGAACAGCACTGCAGTGAGCAACCTGCAGCCCCAGCATGGAGCTCAGGGTGGATGGGGCTCCTGCCACCAACCACCCCCCTCTCCCACTGGCCTGATCCGTGTTTTGGGAGCCCCAACTTCAGCTCCTGCTGAACAATTGTCCTGAAGGCTCCCCAGCATTTGGAGCCCCCTCTGAGCATAATAAAAGGCACAGCAACTCTGGAAAATATCTGAGGCAATAGAAAGTCTTTGGACTTCAGTTCACACCCTTAAGTACTTGCTCTACAAAGGAGAGTAATGATGTTTGGGTTTGAAACACAATAGTTATTACATTGTTTTGTAATGTAAGAGGGTTTTAAGTTATTCTAGTATTTTCCTCTTTTTTGAGAGAGTTTTCAAGTGTTTGCAAACGAAAAAGAAAACCCCTGAGATCCGAGGAGCCCAAATAGTATGTCACAGACTGGGAGCTAACTGGCATTTTATCCATTCATAAACTGAAGTTAATCAGGAGGGTTTGATGATGCTGAAGCCAACCAATGCCAACTTCATCACTGAAACTTCCAGCCCAAAGCTTCTGCAAAACCAAGAACTTGGAAATATTTCCCCCCTTGTTCTTTTTAACCCATTCCCACTATCCAGCAGCCACATGGGCACCTGCACTGAAAGCACCCCTGGGTTTATATGAAATATAATTTTATATTTATATGCTTCACCTCTTTGGGAGGAGATTCCTCCTCTTTCTGCTCAGTGTTTGGTGCTGGTGGTACATTGTTTTTTGATTCTTTCTTTGTAGCCAGCAGCAGGTCTCGTTTTTTCTTTAGGTAATCTTCACGTTGCTTCAGCTGCTGCTTTTCAGTTTCTGATAAATTCTGGGGAAAAATTAAAATTTTGGAATTAATTCTTTTGTATCAATGTCCTGTGCAAGAAAAGCACATTGACATTCTATTTGCCTCCAAAATTACCAGGTGAAAACAAATCCAAGTTGAGGCTTCAAGTCAGAGCTGTCTCCTAAGACATTACCAAAGGACTGAATGCTGAACTCTACTCTGAAAGTAGAAATCATGAGCTGAACTTTGTGCTAATTAAACAGTGAATAACATGAAAGAGTGTTTACATGTTTGTTTTTTAAAAAAAACAAAATAACCCAAACCCACTTGATTACAACAGAAATTCTGTATTTAAATATACTACTATTTTAAATACATATTCTAGGTGTAATCCTCTCTTTTTGCATTCTAGTTCTATGTTTGGCTTTTTTTATTTGTTTCTTAACTTACAGGTCCTTTCACCTCAGCTTTTTGCACTGTGTTCTCTGAACCTTTCCCAGCAGACTTTTTCTTAGTGTCTTCTTTCCCCTTGGTACAAGAGGGCTGGGGTAAGTTTTCAGCTCCTTTTTGTACTGGGCAAACTGGTTTGGGGTCTTCTTTTGTAGATTTATGAGATCCCTCTAAGTAATTTTACATAGGAAACAATTAGAATAAAAATAAATCAGATAAAAAGAATCAATCAGAACAGAACATCATGGAATAGTAAAACAGCCCATGGTGGGAGGCATTCCTGCAGGGCAAATACACTTTACTCACAGCCTTATCCAGCCAAGTTCTTAAAATCTCGATACAAGTGGACTTTTGAATCCTTTAAAGCCATCATCATGTTGCCCACTCAGCACTGCACTCCCCCTGACATTACCTAATGGGCATTTTGGAGTTTCTTCAGAATTCTCAGCTCCCTCAGTGGATTCCTTAACTTTAGCAGCTTCTCTTGACTCTCCTGGAGAATTGTGGCCACCATCTGGAGCTTTGAGTTTAGCACGTGCCTTGAATTAGAAAACAAATAAACCCAAGTGTTACATTTCCTGCCACTGCAGCTCAGGTACTGAACTGTCCCACAAAAGAATCTCCCAGAAGAACTTCCAATGAAAACTGCATTGTTCACACTACAGACAATCCAACCCTTCTCTCCCAATTTCTGCCTAGAAATCGTCTGTGCTGTTGATCAACCACATAATTCATGTCAGAACCCCACACCATTCATTAAAATATGAAATTATTTTGTGATAAATGTATCACTGAGCACAAACTCTGCTGGACACCAAGGGATGGTCTCTTGGAGAGGATTTCTGGGTCCTGGTGCTTAGTTCTGTCTTGTGAACACTGAATGAGTAACTACACTGTGTATCAAGTGATCCTGGAGGTTAATTCCTGTGGGATTATGAGTGCTGTCATCTCCAAGCAGCTTACACTTGGAAGGCTCTTTGATCCTGACAATATCAGCAACTCTGCTGCTCTCTGGATCTGAAAGGCTGACACCCTTTTTTCAGGATTTCAGGATTTCAGGATCCAGGTGCTGAGCAGGCAATGTGCTTCTTGTGGGATACTGAACTGATGGAACACACAGCCAGGACAGAATATCAGGGCATTTCTTAATCATCCCCATAACTCACAAACAAAGGTAAGATACTCACTTCTTCAGTCCTCTTTCTCTCTTGCTCCATTTCATACTCTTCCTTAGATTTTCTGTAACAGTAAACACAAGTAAATATTCAAAACTCCTTTAGTGGTTGTGATTTTCAAGGAGATTTAACATTGCTTAAGTATTTGAGGACTGTCAAAGTAATTACAATATAATGTGAATTTGTCAGTATCCAAAATATTTCCATGACTTAAGTCTTAACAGAAATAAATAATTGTGATAAAACACACAAGAGCCCACTGTCCTCAACTATCTTTGTGCTAAAATAATTGTGTAAGAATTTCCAATACTCATCTATCCCTTTGTTTCACTTACTAATTTAAAGAGAGGAAGGGAAGTATTTCTAGAATCCAGAGAGAAAATAGCATTATCTAGTGCCCTAGAAAAGGCTAGAAGAGTTAATTCCTACAGACCTGTATTTTAAAATAATGTACAAAGTGGGACTGATTAATTTCTTACCTTAGAACCTCTCTGAGTATTTTCATTTCTTCCTGTTCAATTTCAGTGAATACATCAGAGCCCTCTGTCAAACACTCAGGCAATACACCTGGAAAAAAACCAAGATTTATGCATTATTCTAAGGAAAATGATTTTGTACTCCAATTGGCAGACAAGAAAAGAAAATTTAAAAAAAAAAACAACAAAACCCAAACACTAGAAAATTACATTCACAAAACCAAAGCCATGTAATTCTTCCTCTGGAACTGTTTCCACAAAGGTCCTAGAGGAAAAGGTCCTAAACCCTGGTAGGAAAAAGGCAAAGATTTCTGGCAATGAAAGTTTTGCCATCAAAGGTTAAGCCAAACTCTGTATTGACCATTATGTGGCATTTCCTGTAGGCTGCAATTCAGCCATGGCCACCTGAACCACTCCCAAATGTAGCTGTTATATGAAAGGTGAAATTTAAACATTATTCTCTGAAAAACACACATACAGGAAGAAGATAAAACAGTAAAATTAAAGACATGGAAGGAAGGAATGGGATTCAAATCCTTTCAGAAGCATCACCAGGGCAGCAAAGTTGGGTGTGGATTATTTTCTTGCCATGCAAGGAGCAGAATTCCAGCTATTTGATACTGCCCCGTTTGGGGAACTGCTCTGCTTTAACTCAGAAATGTCACCAAAATTCTGCAACAGAAAACTCTTAAGTTTCACTGAGAAATTCAGACAGACCTGAAATTCTGTGAACTTTAAAATACAGACAGCTGTCACTGAGAGTGCAAGCCAAGGACTAGGAAATGAAATCCCAGTAACATCAGCTGGATGTTTTCCAGTAACGTGAACTGGAGCAGAACCAGCATTCCACTCTCATTTATGAATGGCTGAAAGAGTCATCAAAAGAGCATTAAAAACCTGAGAGAACCCTTCTGTTCATCATTCCTCACCATTTCTTTCTTTGATGATTCGAATTGCTTGCAGTTGCATTTCAATATTTTTCTGTACCATCATTTTTTTAAATAGCCTAAAATCTTCTGCTGCCAACACTGTTTGCAGAATGGCCTGTGGGAGGAAAGATATGCACAAAATTAAACTCCCACAGAAATCCTCACCAGCTTGGTCTGTTTGAAATTAGCTTGATTTTTCAATTCTGGGGAGCATGTTTTTAATAATTATATTTCACTCTCCTATCTGTCTGTTTTTACCAGATGTCCAAGAAAAGCTCATGGTCAGGAAAATAACTTGGTGGGTTATGCCTTTAGATCAACATGTCTGCAGTAACATTATGACAATATTATAATATTAAGACAAAATTGGGTTTCCCAGTGTAAGTTTACAGCTGCAGCTCAATTGAAAATTGCAGTTTCACCATGAAAACTTTTCCAAGTTTCATCTCCTGCCAGCTGTGTTAGGGAAAACATTAATCTAAGCATGAAATCCAAACATTCCCTAGTGAAGGCAAATACCTGCGAGGTGTGGGTCTTTGCAAGAGGAGAAGAAAAAGCTTCTTGAAATTTCTCCTCGTTAATTCCAACTTCTTTAAGGTAGTCCTCTAGTAATCTCTCCACCTGTAAGAAAGTAGAAGCCTTACCTTCTAAGGTTTTTCCCTGGCAATCATGGCAATTTTTGTCAGGATTATCTATCATTTTTTTCTGATGGTGTGGTTTGTAAATTCAAAGGAAAATCACTACAAGAGCATAATTGACTTTTCTGATGTCAAGCTTTATTTGCTTTATTGAACTGTTCAAAATGAGCATTTTCATTGCTAAATTTGATTACTCCTTAATGTATCTTCTCCAGTTTCCAGGACTCTCACTTGTGTACCTTCTTTCCCAGACTCCTGGCTAGTATTCCTCATGGGGTTTTGATGTAAGTAAAAGGCTTTTTTTTGCCTTTTAGCAAGCCTTTAGGGTCAGAGCAGAAACAAATGTTGGTTTGTATTTATTCAATCAAAGCTTTTTAATATCATGTATTCCCCAGCCTCATTACAGAAAGAGTGTGTTAGAAATCTGCATGTAGTGTTTCATAGGTATTTAAGCTCCAAAAATGTCCTGTGGTTTTTTTTTAGATAATTGAAAGATAATTCAAAATATTTCCCAGACTCATTATTGAACAAAATACAAGCTGTGAGTGTTCTCAGACATCCTGCTGGTTGTCATTTTAACTTGACAGAAAATAACATTAGCAAGCTTATAAATACAGTCCTGGAGGTAGTGGATATATTAATTTTAATGAAAAATATGTAAAACAGTCTAAGAGCTATGAATGACTGTGTCACAGTTTCTTTTCTACATACCTGATCTTCAGGCATAAAAATGCATATGACAACTGCAACTCACAGGATGTCTAAATAACACGTGGAAAAATTCTAAATTACAATAATAACCCAATCAGAAGTTCATCTCAAGACTCACTTAGCATTTTAAATTGTTTTGCTTAGAAATTTACCACAAACAGGGAATAATGCTCACCAGAGCTTGGTACTCCTGATAAATTTCTGTGTAAGACAACTTGCTTTCTTCTTCATCATCAAAAACTGAGGAGGGGGAAGAAGAAACATTTTGCAGTCAGTGTACAAACCACCACAAATTAACTTACACCCTAAATAGCAAGATTAACCTTTACAGGGTAATGTATTTAATCAATTAAAATACAGGCCATGATTTATAAAAGCCCTGTGTTTTTCCACACACTCAGGCTAAGTGTGTGCTTTTGATATTGAAAGGAATTAAGCTGCATAATTTAATATTGGGAAAATGTGTCTTCATAATAGACTTGTAAGGAAGTTGAGGATTCAGCAGCTACATTCACTAAAAAGTAAGTTTTAATAATAGAACCTCTGTAAGGTTGTTCTAAGGTGGCAGATGACACATCAAGCAGGAAATTTCTCACTCTCCATGTATTTACATGGAAGATGTAATTATTAATGACTTAAACCATTTTTTTAAATGTCATTCATATAGTGAAAAAGCCAAGGTGATGCAAGAAAATGAGTCCCTGCCTGCAAAACCAGATAAACCCAAAGAGGAAATGTAGTGCAGTTAAGTTATATTTTAATTACATCTGTCCTGATTTAGGAAAAATGGACATTCCTATACTACAGGCCATATTAATCAAATTCATGTAAATTCATATTAAAATCCCTGACTGGAACTACTCAAGCTCATGATCTCTATGCTGCAGAATATGTGGAAGAAGCAGAAAATAAAAGGAATTGAAAACTAAGGTTGGGGAGGGTTAATTTACATTTTTTCACGCCAACAACTGAGAGAGGTAATGTAAAACCTGGCAATTAAAGAAGAGGCTTAGAAATAAATCTGCCTCAATCCCCTTCAAGATTAGCCACTTGGACAAGTCATTCCCAGGAACATCCTTTGAAGTTCTTTGAAGAATGGGAATTCTGCTTGAATTGGTGCACGAGTGTGATTTATTCTTTGTGTACATGTGACATCTGTGATGGAGGGGATGCCTGTGCAATCAGTGCACCCTTCACACAAATTCAGAGGGACTTTTGGAAGGTATCCAACCTCCTTCCCAGCTGTGACAGCCCTGGAGCCACATCATGCACACCTGGACACAGTGTGGATGCTTCCTAAAGCAGCATCCCTTTCTAACACAGCAGTGCAATGACAGGAATCAATCACACAGATCAGTCCCCCAACAGCAGAGGAAAATCTGCTTTTGAATCCTAATCTGGAAAACCGGCATTGCTTGTGGGTTTTGCACAAGGCAAAAATTTTAATGAAGAAACTAAAACAAAAGGTTTACAAATATCTAGGATTAAATTAAAGGTAGAGAACCATGGCAACCGTATCACCAAAGTCAGGAGGGTGAAGACACCTGACAGCCTCTGTTGTCTCCTCCTGCCCGGGGATCCCTCCCAGCTCCCGCAGACCCCTTGGCTTCTCTGTCCCCTTTTCCCCACCCTGCCCTGGGGATCCCAAGCAGGGGTGACACAGGGATGTCACCCCTCGGTGACAGCAGGCCAGCACTGCCAAGGGGATGCTGCTCCTGCAGAGCAGGGTGGGAAGCTGGCACACACCGGGCTCAGGACACAGAGGGATGAAGTTCAGTGCCAAGTAAAGCAAGCTGCAGTCAGCATCTCCTCTCAGCTAAGTGGCTTTGAGGAGTATTTGGAACAGAGACCTTGGATTTCCTTGAGTCAGGGCTCCTGAATCACGTAGTCATTATTCCTTAAGGTTTTGGCACAGTCTTTGGTGGCCCAACAGGAATAAAGATGTGAAGTATGAAGGCAAGCCAGGGGACACAGATGTCCTGGGAGACACTCATTATCTTCCTGTTAAAACTGAGAATCTTGGCTAGGACCCCTCGAATGGGATGATACACACCCATCTATTTAATTTCAATGTGATGTAAAAGGAAATTAATCGAGCTAGAAAAAATTAATCAAGTTCCCAGCAAGAGAGAGAGAGAAAGCAAACACTTACTAACAGACAGAAAACCATTACCATAAGTTTACAAGTTGAAGTGCAAGGACTTGGCCTAAGTAACTACAGTTCTAAAATAAATTCCTCACATACCGATTACCAAAATCCAAATTGTATTTTCGAGGAATCACAAATTATTGTCAGTTAATCAGTGTTGCTAATCTGCTTGTCCAAATTAGATTAAATGTTAAATTATTAAAATTAGATTAAAAGACTAAATGTTTTGGGAATGCAAAGGACTCTGTCCTGACAAAGTATGTCAGAACAAACCCAGAAATGGAATCGGCACAGCAGGAAGTGACCAGCACGAGCCTCACACAAGGTGGAAATTTACAGCGGTTCCACAAATCTTCTTACTGTCAGTAAATTCCCCTCAACCTTCTCAGGAGAAGGCATCATTGCTCCTGAGAGGGATCAATCAATTCCCTCGATAGCTAAACCCAGACCCTTTGCATGGTAACCAGAACGTTTGGGCCAGCCCAAGTTTAGGCAGCCTTCGCAGGAGAAAACTTCCAGTCCAGGTTCCTCTAACTCTTCCTAGCTGTGAAGGCTCCAGCTTTCCCTTCTTCCTCTTTTCCCAGCTTTAAGAAGGAAAGGCTTACGGACTCACGTGCCTCATGGAAAGTTTTGGGGCGGGTAGAAACGATGAGAAACTGAGAAGCAATTTTTTTTTTCAAGAATCACAAACAAAAGCCGTCTTTGTTTTTCCAAGGGGCTTAGGCAGTGCTTTCAGACTTGCCCAAATTGTCATTACTTTGCTACTGTAAGGATCCAGGTGGTTTTTGGCAGCTGAAGTTGTTCTGTAAGCAGCAGAAGTAATTCAGCCAAATCTCTACATCAGAAAGGCTATTTCCTCCTTCCCTCTCTGCAGATACAAACCTGCACAGGTCTCTCCTGGCTACAGTGCAATCCTGCACCCACCCCACTACCTGTACTTCCATTTTACCCAGGCTGCTCCCTAAATTATGCCTCGATTGTCTCAAGAAGGCGAAGGAAGAAAGGGGAGTTTTAACTGGAATTACGTCCCAGCTAAACTCACACACAGGATCACCTACAAAACACTGCCGGTAACCACTGCTAGTGCTGACTATCATTTCTGCGAGTACTAAAACTCGGGGTATTTCACCTCTTAACTGACAACATTCACATAATTACAGGAATTTAACTTCAGGCCTTCTCCTCCTCTGTCGCACTGGCCAGATGACGCTTTCGGTTGTCCAGAGAAGTTTCCTAAGGAAAACTCTCGGGAGAGCTTTGGAGGCCGTACCGGGGTCCGAGGCGCTCGCTCGGTGTCAGCCCTAAGCCCATGCCATAATCCCAGGACGAGCTAATGGATGCAAACGGATGTCAGGATGCAAATCCCGACACACGGCTCGCCCTGGGAACAGCGCGGGCCCCGGGGAGCGCCGGGCGGGGAGCGCGGCCGGCGGGGCCGAGTGGCGCTCCCGCCCAGCCCCGGGGATCCCCCGGGACAGGCCCCGGCCCCGGCCCGGGGACACCCGCCCTGCCCGGCCCCGCTCCCCCGCTCACCCTCGCAGTTGTGCTCCATGAACTCCAGGATGGGGATGGACCAGGCGGGCCCCCGCAGGAAGCCGGCGATGGTGTCCACCACCCACTCCACGTCGTCCTCCTCCTCGGCCGCCATGGCCGGCGGCGCGGCCGCTATGGCAACCGGCGTCACGGGGCGGGGCCTGCGGGAGCTGCGGGCCGGGAGCCGCCCCCGCCGCATTCCCGGGAACGGCGGGACCTGCGGGA